TTTAACAGGATAAAGTGTTTTAACAGGATAAAGCGTTTAACAGGATAAAGCATTTAACGGGATAAAGTGTTTTAACAGGATAAAGTGTTTTAACAGGATAAAGCGTTTAACAGGATAAAGCGTTTAACAGGATAAAGTGTTTAACAGGATAAAACGTTTAACAGGATAAAGTGTTTTAACAGGATAAAGTGTTTTAACAGGATAAAGCGTTTAACAGGATAAAGCATTTAACGGGATAAAGTGTTTTAACAGGATAAAGTGTTTTAACAGGATAAAGCGTTTAACAGGATAAAGCGTTTAACAGGATAAAGTGTTTAACAGGATAAAACGTTTAACAGGATAAAGTGTTTTAACAGGATAAAGTGTTTTAACAGGATAAAGCGTTTAACAGGATAAAGCATTTAACGGGATAAAGTGTTTTAACAGGATAAAGTGTTTTAACAGGATAAAGCGTTTAACAGGATAAAGCGTTTAACAGGATAAAGTGTTTAACAGGATAAAACGTTTAACAGGATAAAGTGTTTTAACAGGATAAAGTGTTTTAACAGGATAAAGCGTTTAACAGGATAAAGCATTTAACGGGATAAAGTGTTTTAACAGGATAAAGTGTTTTAACAGGATAAAGCGTTTAACAGGATAAAGCGTTTAACAGGATAAAGTGTTTAACAGGATAAAACGTTTAACAGGATAAAGTGTTTTAACAGGATAAAGTGTTTTAACAGGATAAAGCGTTTAACAGGATAAAGCATTTAACGGGATAAAGTGTTTTAACAGGATAAAGTGTTTTAACAGGATAAAGCGTTTAACAGGATAAAGCGTTTAACAGGATAAAGTGTTTAACAGGATAAAACGTTTAACAGGATAAAGTGTTTTAACAGGATAAAGTGTTTTAACAGGATAAAGCGTTTAACAGGATAAAGCATTTAACGGGATAAAGTGTTTTAACAGGATAAAGTGTTTTAACAGGATAAAGCGTTTAACAGGATAAAGCGTTTAACAGGATAAAGTGTTTAACAGGATAAAACGTTTAACAGGATAAAGTGTTTTAACAGGATAAAGTGTTTTAACAGGATAAAGCGTTTAACAGGATAAAGCATTTAACGGGATAAAGTGTTTTAACAGGATAAAGTGTTTTAACAGGATAAAGCGTTTAACAGGATAAAGCGTTTAACAGGATAAAGTGTTTAACAGGATAAAACGTTTAACAGGATAAAGTGTTTTAACAGGATAAAGTGTTTTAACAGGATAAAGCGTTTAACAGGATAAAGCATTTAACGGGATAAAGTGTTTTAACAGGATAAAGTGTTTTAACAGGATAAAGCGTTTAACAGGATAAAGCGTTTAACAGGATAAAGTGTTTAACAGGATAAAACGTTTAACAGGATAAAGCGTTTTAACAGGATAAAGCGTTTAACAGGATAAAACGTTTAACAGGATAAAACGTTTAACAGGATAAAGTGTTTTAACGGGATAAAGTGTTTTAACAGGATAAAGCGTTTTAACGGGATAAAGTGTTTTAACAGGATAAAGCGTATAACGGGATAAAGCGTTTAAGTGGGGTTGTGTTGGGATGTCAGGAGCTGTAATCCGTTCTGATGTCTGTCAGAGTTCGATCAGATTAATGATTAATAATTGATACATTATCTGAAGCCAGATTTTATACAGAAATATTCAGACTGGTTTAAATCAACAGTCTGGTTGTATTTCCTGATCTTTGCTGACAAACAGTTTGGTGTGAAAGAATTTAAAGCCTGTGTCAAATACAGGCCTGTAGAGTTCAGTGATTACAGTAAACAATATCCCGGGGCTACTAACTGAAGTTTTACAGTTGTGAGTATATGAGTTCAGAGCTCAGTGAGAACATGAACTCAGATTAATGCTGTCATTAATGACATGTTGATCAGAAGACAAATTCATCTGTCTCCAGTTATGTCATAAAACATGATACACAGTAAAGACAGGTTCAACTCTTCACCTGAGACATGTCTGAATACTGTCAGTGTGAAAGTTGACTGTTCTTCAGTTTGACTGAAACTCTCAGATGTGACAGACAGAGACAGGAAGTGATGTCACTGAAGGTGCTCCTCTGGTTTCAGATCCCCAGGACCATCGTCAACGTGGTGCAGATTCTTCCCATGAAGCCTCTCAGAGAAGTTCAGAGACCCACTCTGGGCTGTCAGCTGCAAAGGTTACCTTATATTAACCTGTTTATACTTGTCCTCACCTGTCTTTCCTCTCCTCACCTGTCCTTACCTGTACTCACCTGTCCTCGCCTGTCCTCACCTGTACTCACCTGTCCTCATCACCTGTCTTTAGCTGTACTCACCTGTCTTTACCTGTACTTACCTGTCCTCACCTGTACTCACCTGTCCTCATCACCTGTCTTTAGCTGTACTCACCTGTCTTTACCTGTACTTACCTGTCCTCACCTGTCCTCACCTGTACTCACCTGTCCTCATCACCTGTCTTTACCTGTACTTACCTGTACTCACCTGTCTTTACCTGTCCTCACCTGTCCTTACCTGTACTCACATCTCCTCACCTGTCCTTACCTGTACTCACCTGTCTTTACCTGTCCTCACATCTCCTCACCTGTCCTTACCTGTACTCACCTGTCCTCACCTGTACTCACCTGTCCTCATCACCTGTCTTTACCTGTCCTCACCTGTCCTTACCTGTCCTCACCTGTCTTCACCTGTCTTCACCTGTCTTTACCTGTCCTTACCTGTTTTTACCTGTCCTCACCTGTCTTTACGTGTCCTCACCTGTCATCACCTGTCCTCACCTGTCTTTACATCACGCCAATCAGAAAATCTGTACTATCCGTTTTTTTAAAAAAAATCTAATAATCTGTTAATCCGATACCCTAATAATCCAACAGTGTGATAATCTTATAATCTAATAATAAACAGTGTGATAATCTGATAATCTAATAATTCAACAGTGTGATAATCTAATAATCCAACAGTGTGATAATCTGATAATCTAAAAATCCAACAGTGTGATAATCTTATAATCTAATAATAAACAGTGTGATAATCTGATAATCTAATAATTCAACAGTGTGATAATCTTATAATCTAATAATAAACAGTGCGATAATCTGATAATCTAATAATTCAACAGTGTGATAATCTAATAATCCAACAGTGTGATAATCTGATAATCTAATAATAAACAGTGTAATAATCTGATAATCTAATAATTCAACAGTGTGATAATCTAATAATCCAACAGTGTGATAATCTGATAATCTAA